CAGGCCTGGCTTTTAATCAGGACAAAGTGTTTAGAGAAATGCTGTTGAAATTTCACAAAAAAAGTTGAGAGGAGAGGTGAAGGCCAAGAGTGAATGGAAAAAGAAAAAGATGTTGATTTAACTGAACAGCAGTGGCATTTAAAAGGTCACTATGCAAAGTCAAGGTGCAGAGGAAACTGGAAGAGTCTGTAGACTCAGATAATATGTACCAGCAAAGCAGTCACTGATGGGATTCTAGCATTGTGGCTGGGCTCCGAGTGTTCTTTTTCCTTGAAAGCAGAAAAGGAGAGCTTTGTTTGAGGCATTTTCTGATGTTTTCATGTTTCTATGAAGGGGAAGCATTGGCTACCATGAGAACAGACCTGGGAAATGATTTCAGCTCCCAAGCAGCTCTAAATATTGTCTTCCTGGAGAAATATGTTGATATGGATTTTGAGGTTACATTCAGATTTGGTAGGAAGGAATATCTGTTAGGGATAAGTAATGAATGAATTCCTAATGTTGTCCATGTGGCACGCAAGAGACAAAGAGTCACAAATGAATAGCTTTTGGTATAAATGGGACCTATGGAAAGTTTTATTTGTCACAGGTAGTTTCCTGAAAAAATATGAGCTGGATTTCATATACGGTGGTACCTTGGTTCATGAATTTAGTTCTTTCTGAGATTCTGGTCACAAACCGAATTGGATGGGGACCAAATAAAATTTCCCCATAAGGGCAACACTGAATCTCACCATTGCATTTGATTCGGTTTTGTCCAACTCTGTTTGCAACCAGAACCATGGGAAAAAGTACGTTTGTGAGCCAAGGCACCATTGCATTTTTAAAAATATGCACATTTTCACACACTCTTGTAAAACACCAAGAGTACTGGGCTCCCTTTCCTGACAGCAACAAGATGAAGCTAAGTGATGGTTTAATAGGTAGTGGCTCCAGTGGACATCAATCTACTAGGGCTAATTCCAGACTATACCTTTTCTGAGCTCAGAGGTTACATGGCTGTAGACAGGTGAAGTGGTCAGGAGAGACCTCAAAACTTATCAAGCACGAAATTTTAAGACCATCCCAGCCTAGGAGGCAGAACAAAAGGTCCACAAATCCAGTAAAAACAGATGTCTCTTAGCAGGACACGTGAAAACAGGACCATGAGCCAGAGTGTTCCCCAAAAGAATCGTGTAAGTCCTGGGAGGATTAAGCTACTACCCCTCTACGCTAAATTCTGGTGGAGTCCTTGCTCTATTAATGCTACTTCTGGGCTTAACCTTTAGTGGATTAGAAAGTAAGACATTTCATCAAACTATCGATTCACCTTAAAAAATGAAATCTTTAGTAGAGAATAAACCACTGCTTTGAAATCTCTACTTGTCATTCTAATTGTTTTCATCATATATATCAAACATGAGCATCCAAAGTGAAACTTGCCTCACATTCTACCAGACTGGGTTCTTTCTGGTGTTTTATCATGGGGAATAGTACCTCTGGCTCATTACATCTCTCTCTCCTTACTTTTTATACAATTATCACAAAGTTTTTATCAGTTTTGTTCACAAATGTCTGTTGAACCTGCCAACTCCTTTCTGGTTCTACTAAGTGCACGATCCTCACCACCACTGCTTTTTGCCAGAGCAATGGCAAAGGCCCCCCAAATTGTAGCTCACACCTTTCTTGCACCCCTTCAGACTTGTCTTCCCCTGACAGCCCTAGCATCTTCACAGAATCCAAACTGGTCTTATCTCCCCCCTCATGGCCCCAGCTTCCCACTGCTGTTAAGGTTCAGTCCCCATGTTCTCTGCTCAAACTCGCAGAAAGCATGGCATTAGCTCTTTATATGTCCTGCAAACGCATCATCTTTCCTTCTACCTTGGCAAATTCACCTTCATAGGAAAGCAGCTGATTCCAGTTTTTCCTGCTGCTTAAATGTCAGCAGTCCACCTTATCTACTTATAACCAAAAGAGGAAATTATTTCATGTTCTTGAGCTGACTAATGACTAAATGGCCCAGGACCAATTTGAGCAGTCCTATTCTTCTGGAAGCAAAGTTTAGTAATATCTGGGGCTATAGTTATACAGATTGTGTTAAGAGGACCAGCCTCCTGCAAGTTTATGTTTTTTGCTTTTCTTGGGAGGTCGTATCCTGACACCTGAATAACCTTTCTGTGCTGGCCAGTAGAAGTGATTGAGAGAGTTATAATATTCAATATAGAAGCCCCAAGCTGTATGTGTCTAATTAAATGTGTTAAAATTAAATAAAGTAAAATTTCAATTTCTCAGTTGCAGTAGATGTACTCCCAAAGCTCACTATGCACTTGAGGTAGTAGCTACCATATTGACCAGTGGGATGCCCTGCTTGATAATACAGCTGTAGACCTTCCCACAGCAGGGATCTTTGCTTGATGTATGTGATGCAGGTTCTTTCAATTAAAAATAATCCCCTCCTATTTCAAGAGAGATGCTGTTACTTGCTTTCAGTGAAACCACGAGGACGGAAAGTGAATTCATGTGGCTTGGAAGAAATAGGAAATAGATCAAAACATGGCAAGCAGTTGAATTTGAAGATAGTGTCTCCTCTGCGAGTTCTCAGGGTGGAGAATCAAGAAGGCTGGGTTTAGGTGGGTTTTCTCTTATACAGTGCTGGCTTCCATGTGGACACAGACAGGATCAACATGTGATCTATGTCCATGGAAAAAAACAAGCGTGGGGATCTTTCCGCTTTCCTATAGGATAATCCAGTTGTTAAGGAGCACAGTGAACAGTCCTCACACCGGCAGCAGGACTACGAGGAGCAGTGACGTGACACCCTTTTTAAACACTTCTGTTTTCTCTTGAGACTCTGCTGCCTGTGTTCTAAAGCATCTTTTACTTGTAAGGAGACTTCATAGCCATGGTCTCATTCTGCTTCTGTTTATTTTTCCCTTTGTTTTCCTTATGAGGCCGTAGAAAAGTAGACAAGACTATTTGGGTGCCTTGTATCGGTAGATGAATGAATTATTTTATAGTTCAAGTGAATGATTATTATTGTTCTCTTAAATGATAAAAACAAGCAGCAAGGATTTGTTAAGAACTTACTGTGTTCCAGCTCTTGTGCTGAGGACTGCAGATGTGTGATTTCGTTTAATACTTGTGACAATCTCTGCGGTGGCTTGTAGGTGCTTAAAGGTACAGGTTCCCATTCTGACTGTCACATTTGTGCTGTGCCTGTGTAACCTAATTAAAGGCAATTCATGGCATTCATTCCATTTTTTGGTTAGAATTAAATGAATGAATCAATTAAGAAGTAAATTCTCTTTTCTTTTCTTCTTTTTTAAGAGTAGGGAAATTGTTCATGAGAAAGATAGCTTCTGTCTAAGAGAGACAGAAGGGGGACCAAAAAGTAGGTTGTCCCTAAATTCTTTCTAATTTCTTAAAAAGGGATAGTTTCATGAATGCAGCTCAGACAGAGGTGTTGGGGGATTTCTAAATTATCCTAAAATAACACATTTTGGGATTGGTCCTGAAGCACATTAGCTTTAATAAATATGAATGTGCCAACTAGTATTTCAAAACCAAACAATAATAGGCTCTGGTTGGTAATTATTGTCATCAAAGATTTGTTGATGGTGAGGGTGTCATAAACAGAACCAGATACCAGACAAACAAAAACGAATGAGATTTAGTTCCTACTCTTAAGCACCATGGAATTTGATGGAGGAGAAAAACCCCACAAGTATGGTTTTATAAGGCATCTGAGAGAATTTCAGTTTATAGAAAAATGATATTTAATTTAGGTCTTTATAGATGAGTAGACTTTTTCTGAGTGTTGAAAAGTCTTTCTGAGTAGAAGGAAAAAAAAATTACCAGGCCCTAAAGTGGTATGCATTGATCAGATGATCAATTGTTTGGAACGGCTGGAGTTAAGAACATCCATGGCCATGTTTCTGGAGATTGGAAGTCAGCTTGTTTGGGACATTGTGCCCCCAAATTTAGATCCTATTCCAAACACTTGGAAGGTATTAAAAAAGAAAATAACTGTTGAGAAGGACTCTGCACTCATATGGAGGGTAGGTAGGGAGGAAGGGTGAATCTGGAATCAAGACTTAATAGCAGATTCCAGACATCCCAAGTGAGGGTGACATGAATTAACTGTTGAGAGAGAGAGAATGGGTTTGAGAGATGTTTTAGAGAAGCGATTCACAGGACTTAGTAACCAAAAGTAGAGTTAGGGAATAGGAAGAGTTCCAATCCCTTGACTTAGTCCTTACTTGTGCTAAGAACCAAAGACACAAAAACGAAGGATGGCTTCTGCCTATAAGTGGCTTGAAAGAGAACAGTACAAAAATAAATACAGACCATGCAAAAATATGCATGCAATGATAGACAAATTTACAGGAATAATGCACAGGAGGTTGCCAGGAATGATTCTAAGATTTCTAACCCTGGGGATTTGGTGAATATCGATGTCTTGGAATAAAAAAGTGGAAGAAGTATCAGTTTCTAATGCATTGGTTTTGATATTCCAGAGGCAGTTGGAAAAGAAGACGATGCTAGCTGTAATCAGTTGCAATCTAGCACACTCTGAATTTGCAGAAGTTAAAAGAAAAATATCAATTTAAAAAATCCTGCTGGCACAACGTTTCTCCTTTTAAATGCTTTTGTTATGATGAGAGAGAGAGAGAGAGAGAGAGAGAGAGAGTCTATAAAGGTCTCATTACTTCTCACTCCTGACTGATTAGCACACTCTGAATTTGCAGAAGTTAAAAGAAAAATATCAATTTAAAAAATCCTGCTGGCACAACGTTTCTCCTTTTAAATGCTTTTGTTATGATGAGAGAGAGAGAGAGAGAGAGAGAGAGAGAGTCTATAAAGGTCTCATTACTTCTCACAGTCCTGACTGACTCGGGTTTTGAAAGTTCTTCCTACACTAATTATGAGGGTTCTGCCTATTTTCCCTGAAAACTTTTTGTTCAATTATTTTTATAGAAACAGCACTGAATGCTAAACTTGTTTTTATTTTGTAGGCAGGCAGGAGGTATCCTCAGAAGTTCTTGCAATCAGCATTGCCTTTTAAACATCAGATGACTGCTGCCTTTGCTGTGACCTCTACGTAATATGGATTACAGGGTAATTTATGGTAAGTGGAGATTTCTACTAAATATTTCATAGTTGCAAAGCTTAATAAAGGAGCCAAGTGCAAATGCATGACATGGAACTAACTACCTGGAAAGCAAGTTTAAAAAAAGCTGAAAACAAGTGCAAATCAAGACTGATGTACACATTATTCTATATGCTCATATTCTTCTTCTTTTTTTTAATAGGAATGTTCTTGTAGGGAACTCAAAGAACTTGCCAATACTGTCCCATTTTCAACACTCATTTGGAGTCTGGAATATGCTAGTTTGCTAGAGAACAATTGTCCCTATGTTAGGAATCAAGGATGATATATAACTGTAAAATTTCCATGTAATAGTGGGAGAGAAGCTTTGTGCTCCACTCCGCGCAGGAGAAAAGAGAGCATAACTCAGAAATGAGCAGAAACAGACCTAGGACATAGCTTTCTGTGAGCACAAAGAAAGGCATGTGAGGCTAGCTGTAGCGCAGAATGGTGGTTCGTCCACTAAGCTGTGAAGTTTTGGGGGCAGCTAACCTTTTATTACGCCAGTACAAAAGCCCCACTCCATACTGTTGCTTGTGTGGCTTGCCAAAAAGCCACATTTTGGGTACAGTTCCCAGCTTTCCATTCCCAAGTGGTGGAACTGAGTTTCACCGCTTGCGGTCCTGGCCCATAAAGACATCCCACACCACACTCTCCAGGTTTGCATCTGTAGGACAGACGCTAAACGTCTCACACAGAACCCCAGGACTTACTGGTGGCTGGGTCACAGGGTGAGGGGAGTGAGTGTGCCCAAATAATCACGCCGAAGACCACCTTAACCTGGCACAGTCTCACTGCGTTATGAACGATTCTGCTGTTAGTTGACATTTAAATGGACACTAATGAAAGGATACTGACCAGTGGTGCTGATCCTCACTGGAACCTGGAGCCCATTACTTTTGAGACCAGCTGTGGCCACCCGCTAAAGAGGTGACCTTGACTATGGCAAACTAAGTTAAATCCAAAAAAATCACAACAAAACAGGCCCAGGATGGAGCACAGGTCTTATCTTTTCTAGCTCTGCTCCAGCCTCACAATCTTCTTTAGTGTCCACTACTGGCAAGATACAGCTGTGCCTGTAGAGTGTGGCTTGCAGATTGCAGCCCCAGCCTCAGAAATCTGAGTATGGAAAGGTGGGGTTGCAGAAGAAAGATGATAGCTTGATTGCTAGCAGCACAGTAAGACAGACATATACTTTTGCTGTTTTCAACCAGTAGGAGGTTTGTTGATTGTTACAGAAGTCAATCAAAACAGCTCTCAGACTAACTTGAAATGGAGTAAATGTAGTTTTGTGAAAACTAGGTTCCTTATTGTTTCTTCTAACTTTTAGGATGTACTGAAAATTAACCTCCTAGTACTATTCAGGGGAAGGGTGTGAAGACACTGGTGCAGGTGAGTGTACTTGTTTGTGCAAGTGTTTGTATTTTCAGATGTTCTCAGAGAAAGAGAGAGAGAGAGAGAGAGAGAGAGAGAGAGAGAGAGAGAGAGAGAGAGAGAGGG